TGAGAGACATCATACAGTCTGTTGAGGCCCAGGACGTATCCGACGGTTCTGTCCCGGTTGATCTGGTCCAGGGCCTCCTCCGCCACCCTCACAACTTCAGGGTTGTTGCAGCCTTGTGGGTCGGGCCTGGTTCTTCCCTCCTGCAGCAGCAACACCAGGCACAGGACCAGCAGGAACACGCTCATCCTCCAATACACACACACACACACACTCACTCACACACACACGTCCATACACGCTGGCCAAAACAAAATTCAGCCGGATAAGAAAATCCCGTCCAGACAGATGAGCTAACGTTCGAACCAGCACGTGAGCTAGCTGCAGATCTTCCTTTACGACTTGAAGTAGAAGGTTTTAGAGAGAGGGTTTGAACAGACGGGAGCTGGACTTTTACCTCTTCCCTCAAAGGACGAGCAAACAGCTGCTATCTGCTGCACTGTAGGCCAATGCCTGGGTCATAGTGCAGCGGAGACACATCGAGGTAACTTCATCAGATGTGATCTGATGGCTGCTTAAAACCACTGAAGACAAATCTGCAGAATTCAGTGTTTGGTAGCAGAGTCACGAACTCCACCTACTCAGCGTGCTGAAGGACAGCACACGATGCTGCCGTACTGCGTGTGCATAGGCGTCATTTTAACCGGGGACATGTCCCCGGCAAAATTTGTGATTGGCAGCTGTGTCCCCCCCACTTTCAAAATAGCCTGCTGATGAGGATTTTTGTTTTACCAGCTCAGATCTTATACCAGGGGTCGGCAACCTGTTCCCATCAAAGAGCCATTATTGCCCGTTTCCCACGGTAAAGAAAACACCGCAGCAGCCGCAGCGTTGTGGGCGGGGGGGGCCTACCCTCAGACAGCAGAGCGCTGCTCACAGCCAGGTGACAGCAGCCGGTACCATGGGCGTCGCACCCGTGGGGGATTCAACACCCACACTTTTCCAGCTGTTTTGCTCACCTCCACACCAGTCTGGTTTCTTTATGTCGCACTCACTCTGTTTGCCTCATCTCCTTCTTCACCTCCCAGCCGATGTCGGGTTTCCAGGAGAGCAGGAGAGGGAGGGACGGGAGAGCTCGACTGAATTCATAATTTTACATCTTGACATTAGCTGTACAAAGTCTGAGTTTGATAAGAGTATGAGTTTTCATGGGCCACGGTAATTTTGGACGGACCTTAATAAGCAGTGACTTAGTGAAGCAGGCAGGACGCGCTAGAAAATTTAGTTTAAAAAGACGTCATAAATGTGTCCCCCCGTCATTTTTATTTATAAAATATGAAGTAAAAACTCACAATTTAATTTTCATTCATTTGTCATTAATATGTAGTCTACACCCGTGCATTAAGTGGACCATCTTCCAGTAAAAGCAAAGCTTCCAGCCCACCTCTCCAAATGCGTAAAATGTGCATCAGCAGCTAGTTAGGTGCGCCGCGCGCAGCATTAGCTACGCCATCCCAGACAAGAGCAGAGCAAATAGAGAAAGAATAGAGGATAATTGTGTCTGGATGTGGATGGAGATTACATTTTACAGCAGCCTGATCATCATTTAAACACGTAAACCATCACCTGTCTTCTAGCCCATGCTATCAGCATTATTTTAATGGGTGTGTGTGTGTGTGTGTGTGTGTGTGTGTGTGTGTGTGTGTGTGTGTTTTCCACTTCCAACACTGGTCTAACCAACCAGACCAGCGTGTCCAGTAACATATTAATGTTACAATTAAACAGTTTCACTTCATAGGCTAGGAACATTCCACCTGCCGTAGCCCGACCGCTTCTGCTCCACATAAACTTTGTGCGTAATCAAATGTCTCTTCATGTGCTTTCTGAGCTGCTATTCTGCCTCAGACTGGTTGCGTCATGCGTGTCCATATTAGAGACGGGAACAAGCGCTGTTCAGCCAAAGTTTCATAATTTCATAAAAACATTTTTCCAAGTGACACATCCCTCAGAGAGACCGGGTTTCCAGATCGCTTCAGTGGGAGGAAATCTTATCGCATGCACCGTGGTTCTGCGCTGCGCTGCGAACCCCTCAGATCTTCAGCCCACTGTCCACCGTGGGCGCTCCGAGCCGTGCTGAACACATGTCCAGTATAAAGCTCTGATGTTCTGATGGGAATCAAGTTACCTCTGCGATATTGAAATGTCAGCTCATCCATGTGCATCAGTGTGCGTCGGGGTAATTCTTTCAAAACAACCAACATCCTTGAGTTTATCCATCAAAATACAGTCAAATGGAAATATCTGTAACCTGCCATTTAACTGTTTTGCCTTCTTGTGAAGATTGTTGCAAAGAGAAACAACTAAACTTGATTAACCCCAGAGCCACGCACACTGCGCTGTATGTCATGACTGTAAATGAGGGGAAATGATTTAATCGGATCCTTTTCTTTTCAACATGGTTTAATGTAAAGTTTCATTCAGTACAAACTTTAGCTACACCAATCTAACGAGACAGAGCCTGGATTTGTATTCTGAACAGTTTAAACATGTTTAAAACGGAGACATGCGTGACGCGTCTAAAATTCGCACCGGCTCCGCTATTATGGAAATTACACTAACAAGATGAATAACATGAAATTATTTTAGGCACAGACAACATCCCCACACTTTTGAAAATCTTGCAACGCGCCTGGTCGCTCGTGTACGTCAAAGTTATCTTTCATAAGAAGATAATCAATAAAACGATTTATATAAAGATGATCCAGAAGTTGTAGCCCGTCTCTGCCTACAATATTTTGATATTTTTCACCCTGTTGATGGTTTTACTGAGCAGGTGCCACTTTTGTCATACATTTCTTTTTAAATCATGTTTAGACTGTTCAGAATACAAATCCAGGCTCTCAGAACCAGAGCGCATGCGGGAAGGTTCCTCCCACTGAAGCGAGTGTTTTCCAAACCCGGTCTCTCAGAGACTTGTCACTTAGAAAATGTTCCCTGGTTATGAAACTTTGGCTGAATAGTGCTTGTTCCTGTCTCCAATGTGGCGACACATCCAGGAGCCGTCTGAGGAGAATCCCAGAATCTGACATCCTCCAGCTCAGGAAGCGCATATGATTACGCACAAGCGTGACGCGTCAACCCGGTCTCACAGTAAGACCGGGTTGGAACTGTTTAGGTTTACGCAATAAAAAAATCTTTACATTTAGAATTAGCTTACAGATGTAAAATTAATGCAGTAAAATATAAAGCTTTTTATTTAAATATCCATTCATTATTTTACAAGCACAGAGAGCCGCCGACCCCTGTGCTAGCCTATATTGTCCCCAGCAATTTTTAAACCCCACTCAAGTGTATGGTTATTGTCCCCAGCAATTCTGAAAACAAACTGACACCCTTGTACGTGTGATTGCATTTATCTCACTACGTCCTAACTTAAAACTAATCCAGGGAACATCCATACATGGCTCAGGGAATAGGAGTTCACCCTGTAACTAGAGGGCTGTCAGTGTCACTCGTCGTGCCCTTGGGCAAGACACTTCACCCTCCTTAACTGCTGGTGGTGATCGGAGGGACCGGTGGCACCCATGTGCAGCAGCCTCGCCTCTGTCAGCGTGCCCCAGGGCAGCTGTAGCTACCATGTAGCTCATCACCACCAGTATGTGAATGTGTGATTGACAGCTCTGGAGTCCTCTGACTCAGAAAGAGCGTTACGCCTCAACATGAAACAAACTGGGATCCATACTTTTGCCTTTTCTAATCTTCATAAATACCTCGATGACCCCCAAACTCAGAAGTGTTGCCTTAAATCCCCCAAAATAGATCTGATACATGTTTGGAGTCATATGTTTGTATTTGCTTTTTATTTTTAAACTTTTCCATGGTTTATTACAATGTTCATGATGTAGTAAAAGTTGACCAGAATGGTCTCAAATCAGTCTAACACTAAAATAATTTAACACAACACTAGAACAACAAACAGCTGATCTGCACAAGCTCAGCCTGAACCGTAGAAAAAACCAGAGTTTGTATTTCCAGTTGAAACAAAGATAAGCCGAGTCTGTAAAACAGATTTCTGTTATTGAACAAAGACCAAACCTGCTGTGTCTGGAGTTTAAAAATCGATTTTCCGGATCAATTTTCTTGCCAAATCATCTGTAGCATGTTTCAATAAAATAAGTTTCACAAAGTGATTCTAAACGTGGGTTTTTATATGTAGAAGATGATTTTTTATTACCTAGGAACTTGGAGTTTAGTCAGGCTGACATGTCTTGAGTCATGCTGTCATAGATTTTAACCACTAGATGGCGCTGTAATGTTATATTATGTAACACTGAGGAGGCTGACGATAGCATAGATATTTATGTATTTATGTCTACGCTGATAAACATCAGCTATTCTTTATATCTCTTCATATTTTTAAGAACAATAACATATTTGTTGAAATATGCTTTTATCACCTTGCTCTTGAATCTACTTTGTGATTTTTTAGAAGATTCAGCTAAAATATAATTTTTGAAAGTGCTTTCAGAGCTTAGCTATACCCATTAAAAATTCAAATCCTCTTCTTCGTTTTTATTGTTTTTATTTTTTTTAAGTATGTACACAAAATTACAAGAAAGAATATACATTTGCTTTTGTCGTGAACATATGCAACCTTGTTTTTGCATTTTGTCATAAAGGATAAGAAAAATAAGAGGAAAAGGAGAAAGAAAAAGAAAAAAATCATTTAAAAAAGGAAAATAGAAGATAAATAAATAGATGTATAATTGCAAAAAGTATATATATATATTCAAAAATCCAAAATAGAGTCCCTTGTAAGCCTGACAAAAAAAAAAAACTTAGGGCATATCTCCATACCAAATCTTACTACGTATACTACGTGATCGGTAACTGCACAGCGGAGTTGGGACATAGAAACAGAACATTAATGAAATAAATTGGTAATTAAGTAAAATAGAAATGAAGACCCCAGGTACAGAAGTCCGTAGATTAACTTGCAGTACGACCATGTCAGTCCAGAGTCATCTCCAGGTAACAACAGTTGGAACTGGTTTGCGTCTCAGGAATAACTCTTAAGGAGTTGAACAGATCAGCCTGTCCTGCAGGAACTGTTTCGCAGATGCAAAAAGATTTTGACGACGTGTCAAAAGCTTTGGTGGTTAAAGAGGTGTGTGCTTCAGGTGGCCGGTCTGAAGCTTCTCTAGAACTGAAGAATCACCAGAGTGATCTGGTTTTAATGTTCTCATGTTATGATTGTGTAGCCAACCAGAGGTTGACAAGTTTGAGAGATATTACCAAGAATCTCAGAAACACACCTTCTTTGATCCAGAGGCTTTGATCTAAGGGTAAAGGCTAATTATGTGTCATGGATTTAACTTTACCTTACTTTGTTCTTGTGTGAGTGCAAATGTTATGACCTTGTCAAGTAAACATGCTGAAGCATATATCATTGAGCACAGATTAATGAACATTTCATTATTTCATAATTAGTATAAGTAGCAATAAACAAACATTTATTTAGTTTGTAAATTTTAGAACTTCATATTTAATTTCAAAAAGCTTCTTTCTTCTGTTCTTCTGTGAGCAAGGAGACTTAGATAAAAAGGGGTGCTCTGTGAGGGACCTTGGAAAGAACAGGATGTCAATGTTATGATTTTGTTATCTCTGTCAGAGCTGCAGGCTCTGAGCTCCAGCTGGTGTGAGGAAGGCAGGCCGAGTAAAGGGAACGTGTGCAGTTTCGTTTCTCCTCTTTGACCAGATGAATGGTCAAACAGTACCTAAACTGACCATTGCTGGACATTACACTATATTTCCTATAATGCATGGTGATTGTGTTCCCAGTGCAGTGACTCGCCACTAGGGTGCAGTGTATCCACTTCCGTGTTTAATTAATGCAACAAGTGAAAATAACTGTCCACACATCATCCCAACATGTCCAGGAAGAGAAAGATTGATGCAGGGAAGGTGTCTCAACAAAGATGGAACATGTTGATGCTTCAAGGTGAAAAACCGGTATGTCTTTACAGTCATTAGCATCCATGCTACTAGCATCAGCGTCTGCAGCGTTACTGAAAACACTCCTCTTACTCAGTGCCACGTTTACTCAGCAAATAGCCGACTTTGAAGCCCAGAAATGGATTTTAACAGCTCCAAAATAAAATAAAATACACAAATGTTTGCATGTAAATATCATGATACATAACCGTATCGCTGCGATGGACTGGCTCTCTGTCCAGGGTGTACCCCGCCTGATTTCCCATTGACTGCTGGAGATAGGCACCAGCCCCCCCCCCCCCCCCCCCCCCCCACCCCCCCACCCCCCGCGGCCCTGGGTGGACAAAGCGGGTTCAGACAATGGATGAATGGATGGATTGCCATATCGAAACTTTCTTACAACCCTAGTCTTCGCCAGATTCGCCAGAATTTCACCAATACACATCCCTAGTTTACGTACTTTATCCTGTAACTGTATAGTACATGAATATGGGCAGATTTTGTACTATACACGGACCTGAAACCAGACTTGGTGTGATCCAAAAGGTCAACTTTGGAAATGGGGTGGAAATTAAAGAGATTGTCACAATCTAAAACCAGTTTCTTCAGTAGCAGCTGGACGACCGCATGTTTGTAGACAGATGGAACTACACCTGAGAGGAGGCTGGAATTCATAATGGGACCCACAACATCAAATGGCTCAACCAACAGTCTGGGTGGAATGAGGTCCTCTGGGGAACCTGAAGGCTTCATTCCTGTAATCATCTTCAAGGCAGAGAGTTAGATGTCGTGAAAACCAGAAAGAAAGTCACGCTGAGTATGCAGCTGGAAAAGAGCTATTTTCATACGCGGTACTTAATCCGATACAAAGCGGATGTTTTTGAAGCGACTTCAGTCTGAACGGTCATGTCACATTAAATCTGTCTCTTATGTTACTGACTCAGCAGAGGTGAGTATCGTGTGGGCAATGGGCTTCCTGTCAAGTTCTGGATTTGAAAGTACAGGGGAGCATGAGACAGTGGAAGCGGTCTTATGATAATATAATGACAAGAATGTATACCATGTAGCACCATCAAAGTACAGAACATACTAAATACACTTAGGTGCCGTGTTGTTTTCCATTCCTTCAGCCATTGTGCACACCCTGTTGTAACTCTGCCTGCTTCACTCCCACCAGTGTTTGTTTACTATTTGTGTTGCTATAGATTAACCCCCCAAAAATGACATGAAAGGGTGCATGTCGCCACCTACTGTAGCAGAGTGGAACAAACTTCATTGAAAAATTTGGTTTTCTAACTTGCATGTAAAATATAGGATAAGGGAACTCGGTATATTGTTGTAGATCAACCTAGTTCGACGCACGTAAACACACTGACGGGGTGGGCTGGTCTGAAAAGAGGGCATACTGGAGCTGACTTTCAAAGCCAGATCTGGGGCTCGGGGCTCAAAAGTGGCCGATTGGTCAAAACTTAGTTCATTGAGCATGAAAAAAAAAAAACTAAAGTAAGCCCTTTCAGGCTACGCATTTTCCCAATAAATGCCAGAATTGGGTGTTATAGAAACTGGGTCACAGGTGAGGGCCGTGTTGATTCCTGGAGTCAGAAACTGGATTTAGCTGGAGAAAGTCACCATGGAGAGGGATGCCCGGTCTCCTTTCTGGACATGCTACTTCCATGAACCAACCTAAAATAGGACATAAAGGAGGACGGACAAACAGCTAGATGAGGTGTGACTTGAGTCCATGGATACTAAATTTCCCTGTGACGTAGAAGAGACTGGCTTTTTCTGGCCTGATTGGTTTCCCCATCTATTTCCTTTCTGCGGCTAATGTAGGTGATGGTAGTTGAAAAAAAAATTCACATTCAATATGCATGTGAGACTCAGGGTGACCGATCGTATTTCACAAAGAACAAGTATGACACGGTTTTTCAGTGAATGAGACCTTTAAAACTGACTTTTGTTATGTGAACAACATATTTTGTTATTTCTGAACAAAATATCACCGATGAGATTGGAACATTTTCTCTCTTTATTAGATTGTAAGCAGATGTTTACATGCAGTAGATGACCAGTGGAAGAACTCAACTTTTATAAAACTGACATTTAGTGAATCGAATGCAAATTTCATGAATTCCCTTTGCCTCAGTCTGTGTTTGTGATTTAGAAATTGTTGCCAGGCTTAAACAAGTCGTCCTCAGCGAAGAGTTTGTCAACCAGAGCTTGTCCTGGAGCAGGAGCAACACACTCGGATGACAGTGTGGCTGGGAAGCTCTGGAAGTCCAGGATGTTGGGTTCTGCCTCGCCTGGAATCTGGGGGTCAAGCTTGAGAAGCAAAATTACTGCTTTTGGAGGTTCCTCTGGGAAGATGGGGGTGGTCACAGGTTCACCAATGGCACCCACCTTCTTTGACAGACCCTCTGGCTCGTCGTGGGTTTCGTTCTCATGCACGTGCTCGTGGTGATGGTGGTGATGCTCGTGCTCATGCAGGTGACCGTGCTTGTGATCGTGGTCTAGAGCGAGCTCGTGGTCATGCTCGTGAGTGTGCGTGCCCTCCTCGTGTTTGTAGTTATGGTGGTGGTTGGGAGAGTCGCCACTGTGGTCGTATGCCTGGGCGTGATACGCATGCACATGCTCTAGCCCGTGATTAATCCCATGGTCATGAGAGTGGGCGTGGCCGTGCTTGTAGGCACTGCCTGGCTTGTGATCATGACTGTGGTGGTGGTCACTGCCTACGGGGTGCATCTCATCATGGTGAGAGTGGTCTTTGGTGTGGTCATGGATGTGATCATGTGGACTTGTCCAGTTGCGTCGATTGCCATGGTCATGGTCATGTCCTCTTCCTTTACCATGCTCATGTCCCTTGCCATGCTCGTGTCCCTTGCCATGCTGGTGTCCCTTGCCATGCTCGTGTCCCTTGCCATGCTCGTGTCCTTTGCCATGCTCGTGTCTGTGTGTATCATTGTGGCTGTGGCTGAGTTGGTCCCCCAGCAAGTGCTGCACCTTTTCTGCATTAGCGGCCTGAGCATCACATGAAAAACAAATCAGAATGTGTTGTACAATAAACCAGATGTTTAGATGAAATTCATGCCATAAACCTCACCTCAGGCTCAAAGATCTCACATTGAACGGAGTAATTTGGATCCCTTGTAGGGCTGTAGTAGAGGGAGGCTTTACAGAAGCCTTTGTGCTAAAGAGACAACAAGAAGATGAATCGAAACAGATTTTTATGCAACTCTTTGACCACAAAACTGAAAATGTTTGTATGGAGCTTTACAAAAATAGGCATTTAGCTTAAAGGTGGAATAAAAAAAAAGGATTTACAGCAAATTCACAGCCCATCATGGGGCACTGGTCAGCTGTAGCTGCCTCTGTGCTCTTGTTGCAGGTGGTCTCTTGGATCGTGTACTCCACATGGTAGTACATACCCATCGCCATCTTGACACAAACACATATAGACAGAGTACTTTCAAAGTTTATACCAACACAATGACAGGGCTCCAGACACATTACACTCTGCAGGGCTCAGATGTCACAACAGTTTTCAGACAACTCACTCCAGCGGTAGCGCGGGTCACTTGAAGCAGAGCAAAGCGATTGTTCAGGCCGCTCTCTCTGTTGAACTTATCCAGGGTATTGGCAATCGTCTTCTTGACTTCCTCGTTGTCTTGACTGATAAAAGTTGGGCAGTCGGGACAAATCTGTACCACTCTAGCTGCAGGAACTGAGGTGAAGAAAAAATTGGTTTCAAAGAATCTGCATGAGCTTCAGGAAAAACAGTTTATCTGATTGTGTGCGTTTTCACACCTGGTCTGACAAGGCATTTGTATTTGTAGAGTCGCACCACTCTATGTGGTTTGCTGATGTAGATAGCAGCTTTGCACTGTCCGTAAACCTGCGAAAAATGCAAATATTTAAGGCTCATTTTTTTCATGTGTTTTAACTTTTTTAAACAATCAACATTCGAGCAAACCAAACCTTCACGTCTGACCTTTTTGCACCAAGATCATGATGTTTTCTAGCCTGGCCTGCCAGACACGTCCTCTACACAGAGAACTAGTCGGGTTACTCTCAGGCAGAGAGGAACACGAGGGGCAGGACTAGCCAGCTCAAAAATAACCGATCAGAAAAAAGGCGGAAATGCCGACTGAACCGCGCGATGCTGTAGTTGTTTAGCTGTAGTCAAAAATGGTGTCTGGCAATGGCGCAAACATCTTTTTTTTAAGAAGAAAGGCTTTTGGCGCTTCTACTTGTTGTGGTTTCATATGAACTCCGTTTCAGTCGCCATGTCTATGAGAAACTCAGCGTCGTGGTGTGTGACGTACGCTGCTCAGTGCTGATTGGCTCAGTTAGAATTCTCACGGGGTTATTTGAATAGGAGAGTTCCCAGATCCAATGCTTCCCATAAGGAAGCATGGGGTTGGCTGGTCACACTAGATGTTTTCCGCCAAACGTTCTAATTTTGGCTGACTGTTTCCTTGACTGAACTGGGATGTTTGTAAAAATCAACCCGAATTAAAAAAACAAACAAGTGTCGGCAGCGGACCGGGTATTTTGATGGCTGGAAACCTTGTTCTGTTGTTGCAACTACAACCTCCAAACACTAGATGTCGCTTTGGTGTTCGTGTTCCATATTCAACCTTTAAATGTTGGCATTTAGTGATTTACCACAATTACCTCTCAGCGATGATGCCTGCTGTTTCTGAACCTAAAATCGTGACACGAATGTTCATCTAACAAAAGATGCTAGTCCTGTCCCAAACAACAATGTGTGAAGACCATTTTATTTATTTAAAGTCAGATTCAGACCCTTTCTGCAATACTCAGAGCTGTCTTTTCTATTTCCTGAATTTTTTTCCCATCCAAATGATTTTAATAAACCCTTAAAGACCCTTGCTTGTCACTGGGGAATGAGAGTGTCCATGTTTATGTTTATTCATTTATCAGATGTTTTTATCCAAAGTGACTCACAATTTATAACCTATAGGGCATGTTGTGATCTGTGGGGGGAAACCAGAGTACCCGGAGGAAACCCACGCATGCACGGGGACAGTAGCGGTTTTAGGCATGGGCAGACAGGGCAGTTGCCCGGGGCGGCATTTTTTCATGACACAAAAGGGGCGCACAAGCGCTGAGTAAAAAATAAAAAAGAAAGAAATCTGCGCCGCACCGAGGTTTTCTATTATCTGTCATATCACGGAGTCTGGATTGGAAACGGCAAGTTGGCGCCCCCTGCAGCTGCAGGCGCTCCTGCTGACTGAGAACGTTCACGTGCACCGTGTGTGTAGAGGAAGGGGAGGGGTGCGGCGGGGGAATTCACCTCTGCATCTTCCCAAATGAAATGAGCGGGTAGGGGCTGAATCAACTGCATTAACATGGCTAAAGTCAATCACATCTTGATGATCTTCTATTTAACGCACATTTCATTCATAATATCATAAACACAGGCCTATCATTCTTTCAGGTTTTTCTGAATTGTGTGAAATGACCGAATAAAAATAGGAAAAACAAAACGATTCTGTGGTCACCCCTCCATCAAGGTCAAATTGTTTAGTCCTGACTAAAGGAAACTTACTGAGTCAAGAGCCAAACAGAAGAGATGAACATAAAAAGGCTAAAACCACCACGTGCCCGATTCAGGAAAAAAAAGAGGAGAAAGATAAAGGTATGTACGCTCTCATGATGCATGTTTTCAATCTTTGAACCAGTTAACTGGGATTTTAACGGTTAAATTCGGTCAACTAATTGCTAACAGAGCTAATAGGGCTGAAATATTGAAACGAATATTCAAATGGTTCGAAATAATTCCTTCGTTTTTGACTGATTCAAACTAGGATTTGTTAAATGCTCGCTGCAGCCTGTGGCCTGCCTGAACAACAACAAACACATGTTGATCATGTTCACATAATAAAAAATAAAACAACTCTACAAGCAGAAGAAAACTCCCCAGTTACCACTAACTATCCTGTTTATTTATTGCAGATGGCTGCACTGATTATTTTTTACCTGAGTTGTTCTGTAAAAGTTGGCATTTTTGGTAGTCTACAGTTTTTTTTATGACAGTTTAAAATACAATTTCAGAGGCAATTCTAAAATATTATGGATCATGATAAAGATCTATTGGAGATCTACCCCAACTTTTGGACTTCTCTGCCAGTCACTGTGGCTCCAGCTGAGAGGAGCTTTTCAAAACTTGATCAAGTCATACCTGAGGTCAACTATGTTTCAGGGGCGGCTCACTAACCTGGCTCTGATTAGTATCAATCACTCAGTAGGGGAGCAGATTTCATATGATGACATTATTGGTGACTTTGCATCAAGGTTAGGTTTTAATTTTAGTTTGTGTTTTCTGTTCTAAGTGCAATGCTGTAGTGATTATCTTTAGTTTGTTATGAGTGAAATATTTTTGCTATTTAGAATATTTATTATATATTATGTGCATATATTCTTAATATTTAGTTAGTTTAGTTGTTTTTGTATATTTGATTCTATATATGTTGATACAGTATATAATGTATATTGCTTTACATTCTGACAACTTCATAGTAATTAATGTAAATATGTGCAACTTAGAAAAATGAATGTTCAATAGTCGTTCTAATAAAACATGCCTGTTTGTAGAAAACATGTGTGTGTTCGTGCAGGTGGGGTGGTGTGGTGGGGGCGGTTGGGGGAGGGGGCGCTCAAAGGGGGCCTCGCCCAGGGAGTAATTCCATGTAGAACCGCCACTGCACGGGGAGAACACACAACTCCAGCCGAGTTTCAAACCTGCGAACCTGCGACCTTCGTGCTGCGAGGCAACAGTGCTAACCACTGCGCCACCATGCAGCCATGTTTATCATGTGATCATACAGGGAGAGAAGATTCTTAGCTTTTGCCAAAAAGTTCTATCAACTTTTAAAAATTTTAGCACAAGATCTCAGGTTTTTTCTCCTCAAACCTGAGTTTTGGGTGGGACCTTAAAAGGAGTCCTAACCTGCATTGGATTGGATCGAGTCTCGCAGTCCTTCCAGTCCTTTCTACTCAGAACGCTGCAGTTGGTCTCCACGACATCCAGCGTCAGATAGTAGACCACACCAACTTCTCCCTGTTAGACAAACACAATGTTTTCAGTCAGAAAAAACTCTGGGAGTTTTAGAAATGTGGAACTCTGATGTCTTTTCATGATCATCTAAAATCAGATTAGTTAATCATGTTAAAATCCAAACAGGATCTATTAATAAAACACAATCTGCAGCAAAGCCTGATGTCGTACATAAATACAGAAAGTGTAAAGGTAAAAGTTCTGGATGCAGCATTTTTAGTTTGAATTTGTGTTGGATCTAGAAATTTCAGAAGCTTTGATGACTAGCACCGCACACAAACTAACTTAGACATTTCTGAATCAGTTCCTTTTTAAATTTTGTTTTATCTTAAAAAAAAATCAAGTAATCAAAGCTGCACGAATGTTAACTTACATTTTTGGCCAAATGGACGTTAGACAGGCGGTGCAGGGTGAAGACGTAGCCCTCGGTCCGATCCAAGTTTATCTTGCTGAGAGCCGAGTGTGCAGCGCTCACAGCTGATGGGTCTTCGCAAGACCCCGTTTCCAGACCAGTGTCCCCCACTGGTGCACCGTGGACGCACCCCAACACCAGCAGCAACAGGACACAGGTCTTCATCATCAAAAACTCTGTCTCTCACACACAACCGATCAGGAGAGATACTTGGACGAGGAGACGATCACCTTTTATATCCTGCCTCAGATACTCGGTGCACATTCGCTCTCTCAAACTCACTAAACCACTACCCCTCCTGTTAAAATAAATATGACCCTTGACCCCTGCTGCATCCCCAAACAAATGGTCACATTAAAGAATGTCTCCTATCTAACTCTCAACCAATCAGCTACTGTATGGACTTGCTCAATTTAGTTCATCAGCCCTGCAGCCATTATCTCTTCACTGGGATCAATATGGATCATCAGTGAACAGGAGAGTCACCGCTCTCGGCACAAAGTTTAGTTTAATCAGTGATGAGGCTCAGTTCTAAAGGTGGAAAAACAACAGGATTTCTAAAAGTGCTGCAAAACACTGGAAACAGGATTTAGAAAAGTGTTTATGGACTGATAAGTTTTGTTTTTGTGGAGAAAAAAAACAGTTTGACCGTTGAATCATGCCACCAGTGCAGCCTGTTCACACTCAAGGGGAATGGTGCAATGGCTTTTGGCGGCAGCTCATTGCACACTGTAAAAGCTTTTAACCCTCTCAGGCTCAAAATAAGTTTTGATAAAATGATGAACTAAGTCCGTCAAGGGTACTTCTGAGTTAAAAAAGTCTCATGAAATACGTATGTGGAGTAACCAGGTAGGTAGGTTTTACCTGTTGCAAATCTGCAACGCCTGCCTCCAGAGGGTTAACTAGCGGTGGGATTCCTAACTAGGGGATAAACAAGTGTAGGAGAATAAGGCCTGTAGGGCCCAAAAGATTAAAATAATCTATAATTAATCAGAGGCTTTGTGATTAATTAATCTTGATTAATCACGTTCTATTTGTTCAAGAAAATCAGCTCCAAAGCAATTCAGAAATCTGAAACTTTTTAGGGATCATAATATAATTATTAGGTATTATAATGAAATGCCAAAACATATCAGAAAAAATCTGAAAATATTTCAAAATTTTGTAACCGTTTATAAGAAATCACTCAGTAACAGTGTGATTACACACGCACTGACCAACATCTAAGTCGATCCAGGTCGATCTTATTGTAATAACCTGGGAGCCTTGATCCCAGTTTACATGCAAATTAGATAAAAGGACCCCTCAAATAAAGTTTGTTCCACTCCAGTACAGTACGTGACAGTTAGCTTGTTGCAACATAAGCTGTAAACTGAGGCTGGCGGGAGTGAAGCAGATGGAACTGAAGCAGGATAGGCATGATGGCTGAAGGAATGAACAACAATGCTGCAGCACAGCTTATAGGGAGCCTAAAGCTTGGTTTATGCTTGACGCATTTACTTAATGCTTGGTGATGCGGCTCGCGGATGGAACGCGCATCACAACTTGCAGGATTTATGGTTCATATGGTTCATGCGGCTTGTCTCTGCGGTGAGCCAATATTCTCCCAAACTGTAGGGGGCAGCATGGAGCTCTACGGCATGCATCCAACACTACACCACAGTAGAAGTAGAAAGTGCTGTTGTTTATAACAGTTGCTAATGAAAGTTGAGAGCCAGTTCAGCTCTTTTAGAATTGGTGGAGTGTTCTTGTTTCCACCAGGATCACCGCTTTTCCGTTTGTTCCCCTTCCTTGCCTTCACATATCGGTCCCTCATGTTTTTCCAGCATTTCTTAACAGCGTCCTCGTCTTTTCCGACAGTGCGAGCTATTTCTCTCAAAGAATTATTAACAACGTGTTGATCACTGTGATCTTTGAGAGCTGAATCATACAAATGTCTGTTTTTACGAACTCTGCCATAACTAGTTCTTGCCAGTCCGCCATGTTTTTCCGTGACTGACCATCCGCGTGGTTTGAAAATTTCCTAGGTGCGCGGTACGGAAAGTTTGGGCCGTGCGGAGGCCAGGTGGAGCGGCGTGGTTGTTAAAATGATGCAATTTTGCCGCAGAGATCCGTGCGAACCTCGCGGACCCATCAAGCATAAACCAACCTTAAATGGGTCCCCGGTAGAATGAAAACATTTATGCAAGTCAACGGGGCTAAAAACGCTATTTTCTAATTCGCTTTGCCTTACGCCCTGGATCACACATATGTTGTACTGCAACTTAAATGAAAAGTAGTGCTGGGTGTTTCGACCACGCCTGTCACGTACTTTGAGATTTATCAGCTTGTAAAAATTTGTAATTAGCATGACTACACACCAGAAATCGGCACGTCGCACATGTGACGTCAGCACATAATCTCTTCTTCCCTATCGTAGCTGCTACTTACCACATGACCAGATTTATGGTGGTTCTTTCCTCCTGTGGGAAGTTTTCAGAACTTACAGCCATTTTTCCTCAGTTTTCTCCGTGTCTGATTTGATGACGTCACTTTCGTGAAGTGCATTTGTAGTCCTGGACTTATTGTCACACAAAACCTAAAATGGTGAGTGGCTTTAGAACTGGGCCACAGTGGACGTGACACTATAAACATCACGAAAAGGGACCCCGTTACCCGCGTTCTGCGGCTCTGATGGGAATGAACTTGGTTGTTGTGTAGAGAAGCGCGGGAGGGCCAACACACATCCAGGCACCACCGGAAGGGATTGCAGCCAGAGGATCCCTGTCCAAGTTCCCGAGATGTCCCGTAGTACAAGTTGCTACGGGATGATTACCTCTCGCCCTGGGCGACCATATGTAGGATGCCCACCTGACCATCAAAACAGGGATGGTTACTAGGGTTGCTTGTCAGACAGGTAAATGGAGTCCCCACCAACTAGCATTTACCCCGTTCGAAATTAAACGAGTTCTTGGTATCAAAATGTGTCTTTAAAATTCACGGACATCATATGTGAAATCCATGGCACAAAACAAGCAGAATTAGAAAATAGCATTTTTAGCCCCATTGACTTGCATTCAGTTTTTCGTTCTTCCGGGGTCCCATGGTTCGGAAGTAGATGGCCATGACTTAGGCTCCTCTATTTGTTACCTACTGTCCTGTTTAATGGTGTCGTGTTGCTTTATGACAATGATCTTGCCTGAAGACTGCTTCCGCTGTGTCATCACTTCTGAAACTCGAGCATCCTACCTGTAGTGTCCTGTTGCAGAGTGTAGCAACTCTGAGTAAACACCAAGCTAAACCTTTGTCAAATAGTACAGGAGTCAGAGTAGAGTTGACCTTTTACTCTTAGAACCTTCATTTGACAAGCGGTGAAAAGGCGTTGCCTGAACAATATTCCCAGGTGGATGGCTTTGGATAAGCCTCAGAGCATGACCGCATGCCACTCTCACTCTCAGAGCAGCCAGGAAGAGGAAGTTAACAGGAAATTAACCAATATAGGTAACCCAGCAGGAAGTGAGGTTATTAGTAAGTTCACCTTCAAAATAAAATCTTCCCATTTAACATTTTTAACCTATTCACTGTTCTTTATAACTTAAAAACATATAAATGAATAACTTTAAATGAAACATAAAATATAAATGACATAAATGCCTTTTGAGGCGTCACACTACCGGTTTTGTTCAGCTGACCCATTTACACGCAGATTGTAATCAGATTGCTACTGCATTATCTGGGTGCTTCAGCTCGATTAGAATCAATTCGCCTTCAGCCAGACTAACACGTTTACATGCAATTCAAAAAACTGACATTAGTGTTTTTAGGGCAATACTTCGGTTTTCTGATGTGCATGTAAACACACTGATTGTGATTGCTGTAATGTTATCCATTGGCATTTTCAATTAGCAGATCATCCATAAATAGAACAACAAGAAGAAAAATATTTGCTTGTTTTTCTGTTGGCATCATGGCGGAGCCTGAAAGTAAAAGTAAGAGAGTAATGCCTTTGGAGGTGAAGCAAATAGCTAAAACCAGAGTGAACATCAGCGCAGCATATGCTAGTTTGAGGGAGCTAAAGGAGGCTTCAGAATCACAGACTGATCGTGACCTAGCTTTGTTGTTACAGTACTTGTAAGTAATAATATTTTTGTCCAACAGTATGAATCTTTTTACTTTGTGGTTCATTTTAGTATTATTTGGCTCATTCAATTCAATTCAATTCAATTAAAAAATACTTTATTAATCCCAGAGGGAAATTGATTGCTGTAGTAGCTCAGAATAATAATAATAATAATCAAGTCATCAAAGAGTTGTTGTATACCACAATGGCTGTTGGCAGGAAGGATCTCCAGTAGCGGTCAGTGTTGCAGCCAAACTGAAGAAGCCTCTGACTGAAGACACTCTTCCGTTGTCGGACAGTCTTGTGAAGAGAATGCTCAGGGTTGTCCATCATTTTCTTGATTCTCTGGAGAATCCTTCTTTGCATTATCTCCTCCAGTGGTTCCACAGTCGTCCCCAGAACAGAACCAGCCTTTTTTATTAGGCTGTTGAGCCTTTTCAGGTCCCTGCTTCTGATGCTGCTACCCCAACAGACGATGGCTGAAGAGATTACACTCTCAACTAGGGCTGCAGCTATCGAATATTTTTGTAATCGAGTACTCTATCGAATCTTTTTTTCGATTAATCGAGTACTCTAATAAATTACCCTTTTGTGTTTGTAAACCATTATATCATATACTGATGAGCCAAGATGGCGCCGAGTATGGCTGCCTCGTCGCGAGCTCCACCAAGTTCCAACATTACACGCTCCATACTGTACATTAATGCCACTGTTTTGCACATACCAACCTCTGTACATTTTATATCTCTTATCTTATTGTTTACTTTATTCATTTGTATACTTAGATTAGCCATTTTTATATTTTACTTGTTTTTACATTACTGTATTTTTGCACAACTCTGTTGCTGTGAAGCTTGCACACAAGAATTTCACTCGCATGTACTGTACCAGTGTACCTGCACATGTGACGTGACAATAAAAGTGATTTGATTTGATATCAAATAGCATGTTATAATTATGAAAGACCTCTTAAAATGAGCAAGCAATTGCCAGTTATTCTTCAAGTTTTATTCAAAATTAGTTTGCAAAACTTCAGCACTTCAACTTTACTTCACAGTAAACAAATGCCTGTGCACAACCTGAGCCGATTTTCCCCTCGTGCGAGAATCTGCTAGCCTGCAAGCCAGACAGAAACTAGGA